ATTAGGAAGTCAAAAGACAAATCCTAAAATTGATCTAACAAGAAATAGCAGCATAAGCATATGACTTAAAAATGTGGTGGCAAAAAACAAAAAAGAAAGAAACACATGTTAAGGAATTAAAGAATGGATCTCAGAGGTATAATAGGCTGGGGCAATGGACTCTTTTTCAATCTAAGCCTCATAGTACTTAAAAAATTTTTATGTATTACCTTGATCAAAAAAGGGTATTTCCCATAAGTCTAGGAATTCCCCTTCTTGTTCTACCTCAACATATTACTGCTCAACCATAGATGCATTCAATTAAGTGCATTCTGATAAGTATTTCAGGGTAGATACTTGGAATGGAAAATTTCTGAAAATTCTAGTGTTGTAGCCGATGTGTAAGCAAGTAAAAGTAGTTGCCATTTGCCTATCCGGTACCATTTCCCAATTTCTCTCTAGAAAAATATTAGTTTTTATCATATTAGTTATCCTTCACCATGTAACAAATGATCACAAAACTTAGTGGCTTAAAACAACAAACATTTATTATCTTCAGTTTTTGTAGGCAGTTACTTGCCCATCTGGTAGTGTTTCCCAACTTTCTCTGGAAAAACACTGGCTTCTATCGTGTTAGTTATCCATCACCACGTAACAGGTGATCACAAAACTTGGTGGCTTAAAACAGCAAACACTTGTTATCTTCAGTTTTCTGGGCCAGCAGCTCAGGAACAGCTGAACTGGGGTGCGTGACTCAGTCTCTCATGATGTTGCAATTAAGCCGAGCGCTCAGTCATCCGAAGGCTTGCCTAGGCCTGGAGGCGCTGCTTCCAAGATGGCTCCCTCACAGGGCTATTGGCAGAAGGTCTCAGTTCCTTGATGGCTGCTCCTTTCCATTAGAGTCTCTCCACAGATCTGCTGATGTGTCTTCTTGGTGTGACAGATGGCTTCCCTCAGAGGGAGTGATTCAAGTCAGAGTGAGGAGGAAGCCCAAGTGCCTTTTATGGCCTAGTCTCAGCGGCTGTGTTCTGTCACTTTCACTTCATTCTATTTGTCCAAAACATGTTGCTAGGCCCAGGGGAGGGAAATTAGGCTCCACTTCTTGAAGTGGGAAGTATCAAAGCATTTGTGTACGTATTTTAAAACCACAACACCTAGCAATGATACATTAGGTTAGGAGACCATCTGTAAATGATTTATTGAAGATCTAAATAGATCACATCACTGTTTGTTATGAAATCTCTTTTAATGATCCTTTCCTCAATAACTAACATGTGGCCTAACTTCTCACCTCACTTCTTCTCTGCTCTGCAGTATTTTAAGCGCCTTGAGAACTGATGACATTTCTGAGTCTTTTTGTATCCCTGTTTATCACAGTGTCTAACATGTTCACAAATTTATTCAATAGTTTATATATGTGTGTGCGTGTGTATAGATGCTTTCAAATTGTGGTGCTGGAAAAGACTCTTGAGACTGCAAGGAGATCAAACCAGTCAGTCCTAAATGAAATCAACCCTGGATATTCACTGGAAGGACTTATGCTAAAGCTGAGGCTCCAATACTTTGGCCACCAGATGTGAGGACCTGACTCATTGGAAAAGACCGTATGTTGGGAAAGATTGAAGGCAAAAGGAGAAGGGTGTGGCAGAGGATGAGATGGTTAGATAGCATCACCAACTCAATGGATATCAATCTGAGCAAACTCTGGGAGACAGTGGAAGACGAAGGATGTACTGTTCATATACATGTGTGTGTGTGTGTGTGTGTAAAACCATCTTCTGAGGATACAATAATAAACAAGAAATACTCATAGTTCTTGTTCTCTTAGAGTTTATAGTCTACTTGGGGAAAAGATACATTTAATTGCATTTAAACAGTTGAGCACACTTATGAATGTATAATTACCAATTAAGTTATATTTTCTGATGGACAGGGATACGGTCTTAGAGATGTGTATAAAAAAGGAACAGGACTGTTCTGTTGTAGGCATAGAGAAAATAGATAGGAAGTTCAGCTGAAGTGAAATTTTGCCAGATAGGTGAACAAGACTCAAAGGAGTCTAAAATATTGGTGTATGTTGAACTAACACACCAGTACTTATAAATATTTATTGAATTGAATCAAACTGAGGTGCCTTTTTTTTCCTTTGCCTCTTCTTCTCTTCTTCACTTCTTGATGTCAGGGGTGAAATACTCTGGTATGGATAGACGAGTTTGACCAGAATAATTGCAGCTAAGTGGGGAAAGGGACTAACCCTGCTCAATCCACCTTCCTTGCTTATTGTCTAACTGCAATTTCCAGTTATATTTGGAAAAAACAGAATAGAATATTCACACAATGTCCATAAGATTTTTTCCCAGTAAATTCAAAGACATCTTTTATATTTTCTAATATTTTAATTTCCTGACAAAATTTCTGGTAGTTAAATTTACTTAAATTTGAACTTCATATGCATACATAGGATATACCTATTTAAATTCAAACATCAGAGCCACTGGATGAGATGATAGCAAACAGAGTCGGGAATGTGACTGATTCTGTTGAAACAACTATATATTCTCCCCAGGAGTAATGCTGAGAAGAGGGACAGCAATGTGGACCTGTACCACAAAAATTGATGTCATTACTACTCTTAAATAATTTAAAATAACACTATTGAATACTTGGGGCTTCCTTGGTGGCTCAGTGGTAAAGATTCTGCCTGCTAGTGCAGGAGATGCAAGTGACTTGGGTTTGATCCCTGAGATTGGAAAAGCTCCTGGGGAAGGAAATGGAAACCCAGTCCAGTATTCTTTCCAGAGTAAGATACGCTTGAGCATGCGCACATGTATTAATAGCTTAGAGACACACTATGTTGTTTAATATTCATGATATCCCTATGAGATAGGTAAAACATTATACTCATTTTACAGAGATTTTTGAAAGATTAATTTGTCCAAAAGCACAGAAATCTTAAAGACAGTCCTATCAGGTTTCACATTCCTTAAACAGTCTACTTCAGCATCTTTATCTTGTGCCCCTCATCTCCGCAACCCATCTCTTCTGGTCTTATTGGCCTTCTCTCTGTTCCAAGAAATGAGCCAAGCCCCTTTCACCTTTAGGGCTTCCCTGACAGCTCAGTTGGTGAGGAATCCACCTGCAATGTGGGAGACCTGGGTTCCAACCTTGGGTTTGGAAGATCCCCTGGAAAAGGAAAAGGCTATCCACTCCAGTATTCTGGCCTGGAGAATTCCATGGGCTGTGTAGTCCATGGGGTCGCAAAGAGTCGGACACGACTGAGCAACTTTCACTTTCACTTTCCTTTTACCTTCAGATCTTTGCATTAGCTGTTTCCTCTGTTTGAAAGGTTTTTCACAAGTTTCTTGCATGGTAGGCTCCTTGTCTCAGATATCTGTCCTAAATTAGTTCTCTTCATCTAACTCTGTAACATTGCACTGTTTTATTTACATTAGGTACAGTGTCTATTGACTATGCCAAAGCCTTTGACTGTGTGGATCACAATAAACTATGGAAAATTCTGAATGAGATGGGAATACCAAACCACCTGACCTGCCTCTAGAGAAACCTGTATGCAGGTCAGGAAGCAACAGTTAGAACTGGACATGGAACAACAGACTGGTTCCAAATAGGAAAAGGAGTACGTCAAGGCTGTATATTGTCATCCTGCTTATTTAACTTATATTCAGAGTACATCATGAGAAACGCTGGGCTGGAGGAAGCACAAGCTGGAATCAAGATTGCCGGGAGAAAAATCAATAACCTCAGATATGCAGATAACACCACCCTTATGGCAGAAAGTGAAGAAGAACTAAAGAGCCTCTTGATGAAAGTGAAAGAGGAGAGTGAAAAAGTTGGCTTAAAGCTCAACATTCAGAAAACTAAGATCATGGCATCTGGTGCCATCACTTCATGGGAAGTAGATGGGGACACAGTGGAGACAGTGGCTGACTTTATTTTTGGGGCTACAAAATCACTGCAGATGGTGACTGCAGCCATTAAATTAAAAGACGCTTACTCCCTGGAAGGAAAGTTATGATCAACCTAGATAGCATATTAAAAATCAGAGACAATACTTTGCCAACAGAGGTCTGTCTAGTCAAGGTTATGGTTTTTCCAGTGGTCATGTATGGATGTGAGAGTTGAACTATAAAGAAAGCTGAGCAGGGAAGAATTGATGCTCTTGAACTGTGGTGTTGTAGAGGACTCTTTAGAGTCCCTTGGACTGCAAGGAGATCCAACCAGTCCATCTTAAAGGAGATCAGTCCTGTGTGTTCATTGGAAGGAGTAATGTTGAAGCTGAAACTCCAGTACTTTGGCCACTTGATGCGAAGAGCTGACTCATTGGAAAAGATCCTGATGCTGGGAAAGATTGAGGGCAGGAGGAGAAGAGGATGACAGAGGAAGAGATGGTTGGTTGGCATCACCAACTCAACGGAAATGGGTTTGGGTGGACTCCGGGAGTTGGTGATGGACAGGAAGGCCTGGCGTGCTGCAGTTCATGGGGCTCCAGAGTCGGACACGACTGAGCTACTGAACTGAACAGCATTTATTACACTTTGAAATCTTTTTTTTTTAATCTTCCCGCCAGAGGAAATCCTTAGGACTTCATTCACTGAGTGAAGAAATAAATCAATAGCTAACTCCTTCTGTACCTGGAGATACTGGATAGTATTTTGTTATACCAGCAAGCTATCTGTGTTACATCGATAAGCCATTAACGCTACTTAGAGAAATATGTATATTCTCTATTTTATTCTCATATTAGTTTATTACAAAGTCTTTAGTGGTTCCAGGACAGCAGGTCTTAAATCAGGGGACAGCGCCCTGCTCTACCCAGGCCGACCAGCAGGGGACGGTGTAGGTGAAGGTCTCCTTCCGCGGGCTCCGGCGCCCTAGGCGCAGAAATTGGAGAAGTGGAGTGCAGAGGAGGAGCCAACCGGAAGGGGCGGGGTCACCTGCGAACCTGCCTTTCCAGGGAGGCTCTCCTCCCTCGCCCCGCCCCTTCCCCCGCCCGGGCGGCCATGGCCATTCCCGGCATCCCCTATGAGCGACGGCTTCTCATCATGGCGGACCCTAGAGATAAGGCACTTCAGGACTACCGCAAGAAACTGCTGGAGCACAAAGAGATTGACGGCCGTCTCAAGGAGTGTGAGTGCACCTTTCTTTCCACATAATGTCGTACTTGGACCCGCTTCTGTCTGTGACAAAGCGGAGGCCTTTTGCCGAGTTCGGCAACCGAGTCCCGGGGATGAGAAGGCCTCAGTCCAGGGACAAGGCGCTTTGTCATTCCGCCCAGAACTTGGGAAGCCGAGCCTTTTCGGGCGTGGAAATGGTCTAGTCTGTTCCAGGTGACAGACGGAACATCCGCATTTCTGAGATGAACGTGGAAAATGACCCGAGAAGGCGTGGGGAAGGAGTTGGTCAGAGATGGTTCCCAGGTTGAGGTGCAAGGAGTGCAGTGTTGGTGGAGCCCCGGGACCCGGAGCAGGGAAAAGACTTGAGTCGGAGAAGCTCAAGCAAGAGATGAGATTCGGGGGGGTGGGGGGGGGGTTGGCTTGTTAGTGGAGTGGAAAGCCGAACATGGGGTTTAAGGGATAAGGCGTATCTGTCAGTAATAGCCCTCTTCGACTTTACTCGTGTTTTTGAATTGTCCTGCATTAAGTACACACGTTTCCCTTACGTCCTGAACTAAATAAAAGAGTTTTGTATTTTTTCTTAATGCACCGCCACAGACGTAATTAATAAAAACCTTAACCATAATTCTGTGGAGCTTTATTTAGGTTAAAAAGCCAGAGGATAACAGTCCATGTACATAGATGAAGTGAGGAGGGTCTAACTTTTATTATTCGGATTTGTAATCTCAGATCCGAAAATGTCAGAAGGTCTGTATCTGTTAAGAATGTTACCTAAAATGTGCTCAAAGAAGTAAGTATTGCCGATCAAGAAAATAAAAATACGTGCTTTCTCTGTGACATTTCGTTTTGAAACATGTCATCTACAAAGAGCGTTGTTACTTTTGTGTGGTTTGATACAGTGAGTATAAAATAAATGTAAAGTGAAACAGACAAAAATTAAGATTTGGTGGCTTAAACTCGCGAAGATTACTTAATTTAAAAAATGTTACAATTATGTTATTTCAGTAAGGGAACAATTAAAAGAACTTACCAAGCAGTATGAAAAATCTGAAAATGATCTGAAGGCTCTACAAAGTGTTGGGCAGGTAGGTAATGGAGTTTGGGATGTAGAGGGTGATGGTGGTTTATTTTTTTAGCTCTTGGCAAAAAATCATGCTCTCTTTTTTCTTTATTAGATTGTGGGTGAAGTACTTAAGCAGTTAACTGAAGAAAAATGTAAGTGTATTAGATTGTTAGTAAAGAGAAAAAGAGCAGGCTTACCTCCTTTCTGTCACGATCTTTGACTGCTTATTGCTTAAATGATTATAATGAAGGTAGATGATATTCTTGCATAGACCGAGTTTTCTTTCAACTCTTGTCCTTTGGAGAACAGAAATAAAACTCAGCCTGCCATCAGTGTGGATATATTTAGTTTTACTTTCTGTGTTTCAATTTGTTTTTTCATTTCTGTTTTCCCCTTTAGTCATTGTTAAAGCTACAAATGGACCGAGATATGTTGTGGGTTGTCGTCGACAGGTAACATTTTATATTTGTATAGTACTTTATAAATGACAAAAGTGCTTTCAAATAAGTTATTTAATTTTCCAGGTGGGCAAGTTAGAAATTATGCCCATAACTCCCAAAGGTGACTCGTTCAGATATAGCTAATTATTAGCAAAGCCTAAACTCAAACCATGGATTTGACTCCTGGTGAACTGAACTGAGAGCTCAGTTGTGTCCCACTGTTCGCGACCCCATGGGCTATACAGTCTGTGTAATTCTCCAGGCCAGAATACTGGAGTGGGTAGCCTTTTCCCTTCTCCAGGGGATCTTCCCAACCCAGGGATCGAACCTAGGTCTTCTGCATTGCAGGTGGATTCTTACCAGCTGAGCCATCCTGGTAGTCTACTTTTCTAATTGATTGCATTAGCTCAGTCAACTCTACACACAGAGAAGTCAAAGAATCTTAGAACTGAAAAATAACTGATTATTTTATTTTAATGTCTCTTTTTGAAGAAGACTTAAAAGTAGTAAACCTTATAAATTACACTTTAGACATTCAGAAATATTACTTATCAACTTTACTATAGGTTAAATTGATTTTGTATGAATTGGTTTAGATTAGAATAAGCAAATTGAAGTAACTGCAAGTTTTATTTTGCAGTCAAAAACTGACAAATAGATTTGAATTATTTAGTAACCACGGAAGGCAATTTATGTACTGCTCTATTCTTTAGTAAGTGTCTTTAGCAAATTTTTTAAAACTCATTGGAAGAGCTTTCTCTGAGTATTTGTTATATCAGATTCGGGTTTTAAAACATTGATCCGACATGGCTATAGAATGGAATTTTACCCAGGGACTAAGTTCAGTCTTAAGATTTTGCTTACATATAAGTGGGATGATATTTTCTAAATCAAAATTTTAGATGCCTAATCCCACAAAGGATATTTATGTCCCTTTCAGGACCCTTTGGATGCCAGAAGTAGACATTTAAAGATATTTCATGATTGTATGAGGGCAATAGAGCATTTGAAAGCTGAAAAATATTAGAAAGGCCAGAATATATGTTGTCTATAGATACAAATGAAATAACTTCTTATTGATCCCTGTTTAAGCTCTTGTTTCAAGTACAGTAGTCCCTCATCTGTGGGGGATATGTTCCAAGATTACCAGTGGATGCCTGAAACCTAGGCATATACCAAACCTATGTGTGCTATATTTTTTACTATACATACATACTTATTATGATAAAGTTTCCATTTATAAATAAGGGAGGGGAAGCTATTGTATCTGGGAAATATTTTAGTTTAATCCATTATATTAAACCTAGTATTTAGCTTGCTTCCACTTCAACTTGCTCTATCTTGTCTAACTCTTTGCAACTCCATGGACTGTTGCCCTCCAGGCTCCTCTGCCCATGAAATTGAGAACACTGGAGTGCAGTGCCATTTTTTCCTCCAGGGGATCTTCTGACTCAGGGATTGAATCTATGTCTCCTGCATTTGTCTTCTGCATTGGCAGGCAGATTCTTTACCACTGAACCACCAGGGAAGCCTCCCACTTCATTTTAACTGGCACTAAATCCTAATCCAAGCACTCTGCAAAATTCTTTAAAAAGGGTTCAGTAATTTGTGTGATTCTGAAATTGTATTAACAAGCAGTTTTCTAAACTATTGAAAAGTAACTTTTTTTTGAGAAACAGCCTGAGCATGATTTGAATCTCTTTGGATAGATTCTATCCAATTCTACCCAAATAAGTTACACTGCCTAAATATGCCAATAAATTATTTAGTATGATTCAACTTAACATGAAATATGTTTATCATAGTGTCTGACATGTAGCAAAGGCATGAATGAAGGTTACTGGGATTTTTTTTTTATCCTTTAGAATTTTAATAAAAAAAAAAAAAAAAACTGCATTTCTCCCTTATCTACTGTGATCATGGAGTATATTCTTCTCAAAACCATAGTTTTTATTTATTTATTGTAGTGGTTTTTGCCATACTTTGACATGAATCAGCCATGGATTTACATGTGTTCCCCATCCCAACCCCCCCTCCCGCCTCCCTCCCCATCCCATCCCTCAGTCTTCCCAGTGCACCGGCCCTGAGCACTTGTCTCATGCATCCAACCTGGGCTGGTGATGTTTCACCCTTGATAGTATACTTATTTCAATGCTGTTCTCTCTGAACATCCCTCCCTCGCCTTCTCCCACAGAGTCTAAAAGTCTGTTCTGTCCATCTGTGTCTCTTTTTCTGTTTTGCATATAGGGTTATCCTTACCATCTTTTTAAATTCCATATATATATGTGTTAGTATACTGTATTGGTCTTTATCTTTCTGGCTTACTTCACTCTGTATAATGGGCTCCAGTTTCATCTATCTCATCAGAACTGATTCAAATGAATTCCTTTTAATGGCTGAGTAATATTCCATAGTGTATATGTACCACATCTTCCTTAAAAAATATGGAACGCTTCACGAATTTGCGTGTCATCCTTGTGCAGGGGCCACGCTAATCTTGTCTATATCGTTCCAATTTTAGTATATGTGCTGCCGAAGCGAGCACAAACCATAGTTTTTAAAACAGATTTAATGGACGTACTTGTAAGATGGTTTCCTTTCTTTCTTCACAAATGTTCACTAAGGGATTTCTATATGTATACTTTGGTACCAGCTTCCAAAGTCACTGTACTACAGTGCCAAAATCAAAATGATGAGCAAAACTATTAAATAGTGAGCCTTTGAAAGTAAAATATTGCAGTCAGTTCCTGCTTCAAAAACAAAGCCGTTGCCTCCTCAAACTTTGTGTATTAGGGGTTTCACATTTCACACTGAGGTTGCACAAAAGGGCACTTTTTTAAGGGGCAGAGGAAGATAACTTTGAATTACTGTGTGTTGTTTATAACCTAATATTAGTGTTCTCTCTGAAGGGTAAAAATGATTATTTGGCTTCTAACTGTGCTCTTGTAGACTGTTATTTCCTGTTTCAAATGTTTATGTAACACTTTCTGTTTTATAAAATTAGCTTGACAAAAGTAAGCTGAAGCCAGGAACAAGAGTTGCTTTGGATATGACTACACTAACTATCATGAGGTAGGTTTCTTGTGCTATTTAGTTAACCTTTTATTGTCATAGAGGGAAGGTTTTATCCAAAACAGATGCTTCCTGAGATCACTGAATGTTTTGCCATTTTTCTTTCTGGTTTTACTAATTTCAGATTAATTTAAACATGATTTTATAAGATCTCCTACAGATTCTTGTATAAGCAAGTCATGTATACTCTTTGTAGGCTGAGACAAAATACATCTTTTAAAAGAAAAGTACACACTTTATCATTACAGATATTTGCCAAGAGAAGTGGATCCATTGGTTTACAACATGTCTCATGAGGACCCTGGGAATGTTTCTTATTCTGAGATTGGAGGGCTCTCAGAACAGATTCGGGAATTAAGAGAGGTTGGTAGTGTATGCTTTGTTCTCTGAACTTAACCAAGAAATATTACTGGTTTTAAAATACATGAAGGCCAGTGTCTGTGGTGTCTGGGTCTCTGGAGCCTGGACTGCCATCTGGGGAGGCTGAGAGACAGATGGCAGCGCTCCCAGCTCCCCTCCCTGCCCCACCTCTGTCCTAGGGGCCAGGCTTTACCTGTGTGGTGGTGGGTAGGCTGTCTGTTAAGACGTGTCATGTACATTTGTATCAAAAATAAATAAGTGACCATGAAAAAGGAATGCCTGAAGGAAGAGAGAGGATGTAAAATTTCTTTGTCCAAATAACGTTTACTGAATATTATATAAATAGTATTTTTGCTGAGAGGAAAATAGCTCTGAAGCTCTAGCTATAAAAATTACAGGTTTTTGTAATTTGGAGATAATTTGGTGTTAGAAAAATCTTGCTCTTTTTTTGTGACAGAAGGGGGGAAAAACTAAAAATAATCGATATATACTGAATATATTGAATAATGGATATAATCCAGTGTTCATGCCATCTGTTACTTTAATTATCTCATAATTTACTTGGGTTGGAGCACATTTGGATAGTGTGTGAAATGTAGTTTTTCCTACAACCTCGTTATACTATTACCCTTATAATGGAGAAGGCAATGGCAACCCACTCCAGTACTCTTGCCTGGAAAATCCCATGGACAGAGGAGCATGGTAGGCTACAGTCCATGGGGTCCCAAAGAGTTGGACACGACTGAGCGACTTTAAGTCAAGTTATAATAGAGTAAGTTATCTGTGCCTTACACATTTTATTTTGTTAAAACTGTCATTTAAGAGAAATACTGGCTCTGGGTGGCATAAATGGTGTGCTGCAGTCCGTGGGGTCACAGAGTGGGGCACAGCTTAGCTACTGAACAACAGAAGCAATTATGTTCCTAGGTGAAGAATCAAATCAGGATTGCCTTGCTTCACAGCACAGATAGCTTCTTAACAATTCTCTTTTAAGCAGATTACATTGTCCTATTGATTTCATCCTAATTTAGGATGGAAATAGGAATGAATTTGGTTAGTTAGAAAAGCTTACATTATCTGATTTCAGCACTTTAAATTTTTGGAAACTCTTATTAAAGGTGCAGATCCTTAAGCTCTCTGCATGGTTTTGATGTAATGGATTAGGAGTAGAATCCACAGGAATTGGCATTTAAACAAGCATTCTGGGGGACTTGTGTTGCTGTCCAGTGGTTAAGACTCTTTACTCCCTGTGCTGGGACCCTGGGTTCCAGGCCTGGTTGGGAAACAAAGATACCATGTGCCTCATGGTGTGGCCTAAAAAACAAAAATAAGCAAGCATTACAGATGATTATGAAGCCAAGCTTTTTAATTTTTTTTTAACCGTACTTGAGGAAGCACTGGCTTAAGCATAAATAAAAGCCTTTTATTTTCACTTAGTAGTTAATGAAAGGGCAGAGACAGAACTGGTGCTTCATGAAACAGTGAAATTTTTTACAGTGGTTTGCTGCATCAGCCATAGGAGCAGAATCTCCCTCTCTCTCTTTTTCTCTGTCTCTCACACACACACCCCCACCATGGACATGCAGTCCCTTTTTGATTGGCAGACAGTTGAGAATATTAATTACACACACATACCATGGACGTGGGCAGACAGTTGAGAATAAATTACACACACACACACACCATGGATATCTGCAGACAGTTGAGAATGTTAATTACACACATATACCATGGACATAGGCAGACAGTTGAGAATAAATTACACACACACACACACACACACACACACACACGCACGCACACACACACACACACACACACACACACACCCCATGGACAACTGCAGACAGTTGAGAATATTAAACATACACACCATGAACAAGCAGTCCCCTTTTCCATCTGCAGACAGTTGAGAGTATTAATTGCCCACAATTTTGGTATGTCTTAATCATACCTTATGTGTACAACTATTCAATAAAAGTTTCTCTCTCAAGTTACTGGTAAACAGTGGCAGACTTCATTTTTTTAGGCTCCAAAATCACTGCAGATGGTCACTGCAGCCATGAAATTAAAAGACGTTTGCTCCTTGAAAGAAAAGCTATGACCAACCTAAACTGCCTATTAAAAAGCAGAGACATTATTTTACCAACAAAGGTCTGTCTGTTCAAAGCTATGGTTTTTCCAGTAGTCATGTATGGATGTGAGAGTTAGACTATAAAGAAAGCTGAGTGCTGAAGAATTGATGCTTTTAAGTGTGGTATTGGAGAAGACTCTTGAGAGTCCCTTGGACTGCAAGGAGATCCAACCAGTCCATCCTAAAGGAGATCAGTCCTGAATATTCATTGGAAGGACTGAAGCTGAAGCTGACACTCGAATACTTTAGCCACCTAATGTGAAGAACCGACTCATTGGAAAAGACCCTGGTGCTGGGAAAGATTGAAAGTGGGAGGAGAAGGGGATGACAGAGGATGAGATGGTTGGATGGCATCAACAACGTGATGGACTTGAGTTTGAGCAAGCTACAGGAGTTGGTGATGGACAGGGAAGCCTGGCATGCTGCAGTCCATGGGGTCGCAGAAAGTTGGACACAGCTGAGCAACTGAACTGAACTAGAACATTAAGAACAGAATTTATGGTTTTGTTAAGACTACTATGACAAAATGCCAACCTAAGAAGATTTTAAATAACATTTCTTTTAGTGGAAATTTTATAATAATTTTTGTTGTATTCAAATGCAAACTAGTGTGGATCTTTTTGGGTTTTTTTTGCTTAACTGATTTTTTTGTAGTATTTTTTTGTTGATGCATAATTTATATTCAGTGAAATTTTAAATGTACAAGTTTTTAAGTGTACAGTACAAGTATGTTTTGACAGGTTGTATGCCTGTGCAGCCATCACTCCCACCAAGTGTGTGGTTATTTTAACAAGTGTGCCAAATAAGTAGTACAAATTACCACATGTTTTTTTAAAAAATGAGTATTTTTATGTATTTATTTGACTGTCCTCATCTTAATTGTAGCATACAGGATCTAGTTCCCCAGCCCAGTCTTCTGCATTGAGAGTGTGGAGTCTTAGGCACTGGACCACCAGGGAAGTTCCGTCACATGCTTTTTAATTAATTTTTAAAATATTTTAAGCTCTTTAGATTTAAGAGATATCTTACATCTGCCTGAAAAAAGACCTCTAATATAAATGATTTTACATAGCACCGAATTCTGGATCTATTATGAATTATGCGTGTACGTAACAGCTCATACTGTACTTAAAATATTTGAAAGTATGTTAAAATGTTAACTGTTTAAGAATCCTGCAACTTCTTTTCTAGGTAATAGAATTACCTCTTACAAACCCAGAATTATTCCAGCGTGTAGGAATAATACCTCCAAAAGGCTGTTTGTTATATGGACCACCAGGTTGGTATTAAGCTATGTCTATCTCAGTATGAATCAATGAATAAAACAATTAAGATGGAAATATTTAATGTCACTATTTCAGCCTTCATTCTGTTCAGAGTAAGGAGGCAACTGGAGATGTGTGTCTAAAATTTTCTTAGGCTTGCTTAGTCTTATGTTTCATAAGTATATATCTTAACATGCTATGTGACTCTAGCCAGTTGTCCCGTGTGGTTCACAGACCTCTGGGTATCCCAGAGATACTTTCAGGGCATCTGCCAGGTCAGAATTTACTCTTGTAATACTAAGATGTCAACACATTAAAAAAGGCAGCTAACATCTGTGCTGATGGTGCAAGGCTGCTCATGATGTAGTATGAATCAATTAAGTCAATGGCACAAAATATCACAATAGTCACTGTCTTTGTGGCCACTCAACATGATCAGTATGAAAAGAGGCCAGTTTCACTTTAAAATGTCCTTGATAAACTTGTAAAAATATGAACTTTTGATCCTCGAATAATGTCTTATATTTTGTGAGGAAATGGAAAATACTTTAAAATACTTCTGTTGCATTCTTAATATGGTAGATATCTCCAAGAAAACCATTTGTGCAGTTATTCAGTTGTCTGCTAAATTCGCTGCTTTTCACAGAGTACCATTTTACTTGAAAGGAAAATTTACAATTAATTATCAGACTGGTTATTGGTAACCTTGCACATATTTTTTAAAAAATGAATGAAGTTAGCCAATCATGTTAAACAACTGACTCCATCTGTAACCGTTGATAAAATTGGAACTTTCGCACGAAAACTTGAGTTTTTGAAAACTTTATATCTGGTACTGTGAGCTTGACAACTTTCCAATGTGTTAATACAGGACAGGGTGAGATTGGTGATGGTATTAGCAAATGTGATTTTTAAAATATTGTATATTGGAAAATGCCAGTGTTTAGCAAGATTTTAATAATCCACTGAATCAATAGTTCCAAATAGCCAATACTTAATGTTACTGTATCATACCTAAATGTCATATGTAAATATCATAAGTAAAGATTCACTCAGTGTGCAGTATAGACCAATGGATTTTAATGTGCAAGTTTCCATCATAGGCTGTTAGTAAGTAGGGTTTGGTATATTTCTAGAGTTATGTATTTGGTTGGCTTAAAATAAAATTAGGACGTTTTGAATAAAATGGAAATTCTATTCAGGACGTAGCCTCCTTTTGCAAACTTTACTATTCAAAGGATTACATTCTTAAAAGCTCTTGAAAATTTATCTTACTTTCCCTCAAATTTATATTGCTTTTCAAAAATTACTTCTTTTTTCATTGCCAGGTACAGGAAAAACACTCCTGGCACGAGCTGTGGCTAGCCAGCTGGATTGCAATTTCTTAAAGGTAAAGGGAAGATTCTTTGTGTAGTTGTTGAAATTAAATTTGAATTGTCTTATATTTATCTTAATGTTTTTCCTTTAATCAGGTTGTATCTAGTTCTATAGTAGACAAGTACATTGGTGAAAGTGCTCGTTTGATCAGAGAAATGTTTAATTATGCCAGGGACCATCAGCCATGCATCATTTTTATGGATGAAATAGATGCTATTGGTAAGAATAACACTTTTTAAAATTTATTTTAAACTTTTCTTGAGAGTGTTAGGAAAATTTTTTAAATTTAAAACTTTTCCATCTCTTTTTCACCTCTAATTGCAACTTCTGTGAAGTAGCAAGATGAATTGAATGTTATTTTTTAAATTCTTAAAGTTTAACCAATCTTAATAAATAAACTTTAACAATGAGAGAATGAGAAACATAACCAAAATCAATTCTAATTTTATCAGTATAATTTTTGTTAATTACTTTTCATCTTAATACTTTAAAACCTAGAACTAACATTTTCATATTGTTTTCTTAAATGATGCTTAAAGAGGAAGAGTAACACCGAAATTTCCCTATCATTATTTTAGGTGGTCGTCGGTTTTCTGAGGGTACTTCAGCCGATAGAGAGATTCAGAGAACTTTAATGGAGGTAATATTTGGTAAAAGTGGTTTAGAAGAAAATCAGTATTTATAAAATGAATAAGTATACATTGGATATTTGAAAGTCAAAATATGTTTAATGGTTTAAATGAAGAATGCAGTTATGTATGAAATTCGAAAATATTGACAGGAATGAGCACTTTTCTCTGGCACAGTCTCTAGTAAGAAAATGAGTCCTAGAAAACAATAGGGATAGCCACAGATTTTCATTTGATTTACTGCTCTACTGTTCTGTATTTTGAGCAGACTGACCATTTAAATATTTAAATTGTATATCCTACTTGTGTTGTGAATGTGACTTGTATTAGTTTTATTAAGATATTTTACAAGTGACAAACATATTAAAACTGGTAACAGTAAAGAAGTTGTGATTATGTATTAGGCTATTCTGAAAATTACTAATACTTTCCTCTATTGTTGACAAGAGAAGAAAGCTAAAATTGTTTTGATTATTGAAGATGGATGCTGGGATATTGAAATGTATCTTAAAGCTTTTTCACACTCTAAGTTCTATGAAAGTGATGGCAAGATTTTAAACATTTTCCAACTTCTATAAATAGATAGGTAGCATAGGTAACACATTGTCAGTTTCTGTCTCAGTGGGGGTATTTGAAAACTGTTTTTTATAAATTTTTCTGGTCTGCTCAGAAAATACACAGTATTTCAAAATTAGTTGTAGAGTCTTTTAGAAGCCTTAAATTGAATTATTTTTAAAGCAACACATGCTAGTTTTATTGATGTAGCTGATATGTTATTTAGGTAACATTTTGGGAATGTTAGACATGTTGACATAAAGAAATAGACATATTGTTAAATTAGCTTTGTTTAAAGATGTTATTGAATGCAGTTAGATTTTCCAGCATTTACTCAAGAAAGCTTTAGAAATCGAAGGAAATATGTTAGGTGTCTAAGTATTTCTATGTATAATAGAATTATTTGAAAAGATATTTAATGGATTTGTTATCAGATTTGTAGAAAATCATTGTGTCCGGTTATGTTAATGTAAATTTTATATCTGACATACCATAAGCACTTGAAATGTTAGTTATTATTTTTATTTTAAAACTAATTCTGTCAAAAAATTCGAACATTGGAAATCAGATCCACGTAGTTTAGTTTCATAAGTTTTGATTAGATGGATGCCTTCAGATTTATTAGACATAGTCTAATAGAAAGTAGAAAGGTATCTATATGTAGAAAGGTATATAGTTAAAAAATTTATCTTGGAACTTTTAGCATGAAAAATATATCCCTTTATGTAAGAAAAAAATATTCCATCAAATGATCATTCTGCACATCATATATCTATCTGTAAGCAATACATTTCATGGCTTTAGGCATATAAAAGTTGTGTCTGAGTTTTTTAATGGTTGGGCTATTTTATAAAATGTACCTTTGATTTATATTCACAAATACATTCTTAGCTACTGAATCAAATGGATGGATTTGATACTCTGCATAGAGTTAAAATGATCATGGCTACCAACAGACCAGATACACTGGATCCCGCTCTGCTTCGTCCAGGCAGATTAGATAGAAAAATACGTGAGTTAAATTTCTTCGCCTGCTGTCCATTTCTCATGGTCTATGTCTGTTTCTCTATCCCAAACCTCCTCCTCATGCCCTACTCTATTTAACAAAAAACCTGACTGTAATAGAATTTTTTATAATTTTCTTATTTTCAGATATTGATTTACCAAACGAACAAGCAAGGTTAGATATATTGAAAATCCATGCAGGTCCCATTACAAAGCATGGTGAAATAGGTAAGGAAATAACTTATTTTTTATATATTCACATTTGGTAACCGTGAAGCAAAATACTACTCGATATTACCGGTAGTCTACCAAATTGAGTTTTAAATTCAGGAAACATGGTGTTCTTGAATTCACCTAATAGTTACTGAGCATCAGCTATATGCTGAATTGTTCTTAGTGCCTAGGATATAGCAATGAACAAAACAGACAAGTTCCTGCCTTCATGTAACTTGTTAGGAGAGACAGGTGAAGTGAGTAAAATATTCAGTTGACTCTTGAGCAACATGGGATTGAACTGTGTGTATCGGCTTATATGGGGATCTTTTTCTTCAGTAAATGCTGTAGTACTACCTGACTGACTTTGGTTGAATACACAGATGCAGAATCATGGATATGGAAGGCTGACTATAAGTTATGCACAGATTTTCGATTACTCAGAGAGCTGATGCCTATACCCTTTGTGTTCTTCAGAGTCAACAGTCTAGTATATTCAATTCAGTTCAGTCGATCAGTCATGTCCGACTCTTTGCGAGCCCGTAGACTGTAGCACGCCAGGCTTCCTTGTCTTATCACGAACTCCCGTAGCTTACTCAAATTCATGTCCATCAAGTCAGTGAAGCCATCTAACCATCTCATCCTCTGTTGTCCCCTTCTCCTTCTGCCTTCATTCTTTGCCAGCATCAGGGTCTTTTCTAGTGAGTCAGTTCTTCTCATCAGGTGGCCAAAGTATTCGAGTGTCAGCTTTAGCTTCAGTCCTTCCAGTGAATATTCAGGACTGATTTCCTTTAGGATGGACTGGTTGAATCTCCTTGCAGTCCAAGGAACTCTCAAGAGTCTTCTCCAACACCACAGTTCAAAAGCATCAATTTTTTGGCACTCAGCTTTTTTTATAGACCAGCTCTCACATCCATACATGACTACTGGAAAAACCATAGCTTTGAACAGACCTTTCTTGGTAAAGTAATGTCTCTGCTTTTTAATAGGCAGTTTAGGTTGGTCATAGCTTTTCTTTCAAGGAGCAAGCGTCTTAATTTCATGGCTGCAGTCACCATCTACAGTGATTTTGTAGCCCCCCACAATAAAATCTCTGTTTCCACATCCATTTGCCATGAAGTGATGGGACCAGATGCCATAATTTTAGTTTTTTGAATGTTGAGTTTTAAGCCAACTTTTTCACTCTCCTTTTTCACTTTCATCAAGAGGCTCTTTAGTTTTTCTTCACTTTCTGCCATAAGAGTGGTGCCATCTGCATATCTGAGGTTATTGATATTTCTCCCGGCAATATTGATTCCAGCTTGTGCTTCATTGAGCCTGGCATTTCGCCTGATGCACTCTGCATACAAGTTAAATAAGCAGGGTGACAATATACAGCCTTGATGTATTCCTTTCCTGATTTGGAAGCAGTCTGTTGTTCCATTTCTCAGGAGGCAGGTCAGGTGGTCTGGTATTCCTGTCTCTTGAAGAATTTTGCACAGTTTGTTGTAATCCACAGAGTCAAAGGCTTTGGCATAGCCAATAAAGCAGAAATAGATGTCTGTTTGGAACTCTCTTGCTTTCTCGATGATCCAACGGATGTTAGCAATTTGATCTCTGGTTCCTCTACGTTTTCTAAATCCAGCTTGAACATCTGGAAGTTCTCGGGTCACGTACTGTTGAAGCCTGGCTTGGTGAATTTTGAGCATTATTTTGCTAGTGTGTGAGATGAGTGCAGTTGTGCAGTAGTTTGAACATTCTTTGGCATTGCCCTTCTTTGGGATTGGAATGAAAACAGACCTTTTCCAGTCCTATGGTCACTGCTGCATTTTCCAGATTTGCTGGCATATTGAGTGCATCACTTTCACAGCATCATCTTTTAGGATTTGAAATAGCTCAACTGGAATTCCATCACCTCCACTAGCTTTGTTCTTAGTGACGCTTTCTAAGGCCCTTTTGACTTCGCATTTTAGGATGTCTGACTTTAGGTGAGTGAGCACACCATCGTGGTTATCTGGGTCATGAAGGTCTTTTTTGTTTAGTTCTGTGTATTCTTGCTTCCTCTTCTTAGTATCTTCTGCTTCTGTTAGGTCTGTACCATTTCTGTCCTTTATTGTGCTCATCTTTGCATGAAAATGTTCCCTTGGTATCTAATTTTCTTGAAGAGGTCACTGTCTTTCCCATTCTATTGTTTTCCTCTTTCTTTGCATTGATCACTGAGGAAGGCTTTCTTATCGCCTTGTTTTTCTTTGGGACTCTGCATTCAAATGGGTGTATCTTTCCTTTTCTCCTCTGCCTTTAGCTTTTCTTCTTTTCTCAGCTATTTGTAAGGCCTCCTGAGACAACCATTTTGCCTTTTTGCATTTCTTTTTCTTAGGGATGGTCTTGATCACTGCCTCCTATACAATGTCACGAACCTCTGTCCATAGTTCTTCAGGCATTCTATCAGATATAATCCCTTGAATCTGTTTGTCAGTTTCAGTTTATAATGTAAGGGATTTTATTTAGGCCATACCTGAATGGTCTGGTGTTTTTCTCTACCTTCTTCAATTTAAGTCTGAATTTGGCAGTAAGGAGGTCATGACCTGGGTCACGGTCAGCTCCGGGTCTTGTTTTTGCTGACTGTATAGAGCTTCTCCATCTTTCGCTGCAAAGGATATAATCAATCTGATTTCAGTATTGACCCTCTGGTGTTGTCCATGTGTAGAGTCTTCTCTTGTGTTGTTGGAAGAGGGTGTTTTCTAAGACCAATGTTTTCTCTTGGCAAAACTCTGTTAGCCTTTGCCCTGTTGCATTTTGTAATCCAAGGCCAAATTTGCCTTTTATTCCAGGTATCTCTTGACTTCCTACTTTTGCTTTCCAGTCTCCTATAATGAAAAGGACATCTTTTTTGGTGTTAATTCTAGAAGGTCTTGTAGGTTTTCATAGAACCATTCAACTTCAGCTTCTTCAGCATTACTGGTCTGGGCAGAGACTTGAATTACTGTGATATTGAATGGTTTGCCTTGCAAACGAAAAGAGATCATTCTGTCGTCTTTGAGATTGTGCCCAAGTACTGCATTTTGCACTCTTTTGTTGACTGTGAGGGCTACTCCATTTCTTATAAGGGATTTTTGCCCACAGTAGGAGATATAAAGGTCATCTGAATTAAATTCACCCATCCCAGTCCATTTTAGTTCACTGATTCCTTAAATGTCAATGTTCACTCTTGCCATCTCATGTTTGACCACTTCCAGTTTGCCTTGATTCGTAGACCTAACATTCCAGGTTCCTATGCAGTATTGCTCTTTACAACATAGGACTTTACTTCCATCACCAGTCACATCCACAACTGGGTGTGTTGTTTTTTCTTTGGCTCCATCTCTTCATTCTTTCTGGAGTTATTTCTCCACTGATCTCCGGTAGCATACTGGGCACCTACCAACCTGGGGAGTTCATCTTTCAGTGTCCTGTCTTTTTGCCTTTTCATACTGTTCATGGGGTTCCCTTCTCCAGTGGACTGTGTTTTGTTGGAACTCTTCACCATGACCCGTCCATCTTAGGTGGCCCTACACTGCCTGGGTCATAGTTTCCTTGATTTAGATAAGACTGTGGTCCAGATCAGTTTGGTTAGTTTTCTTTGATTGTGGTTTTCATTCTGTTGCCCTCTGATGGATAAGGACAAAAGGCTTATGGAAACTTCCTGATGGCAGAGACTGACTGAGGGGGAAACTGGTTCTTGTTCTGATGGGTGGGACAAGCCCTGGGACAATGCTCAGTAAATCTTTAATCCAATTTTCTGTTGATGGGCTGTGTTCCGTCCCTATCATTTGACCTGAGGACAAACTGTGGTGGAGGTAATGAAGATAGTGGTGACTTCCTTCAAAAGGTCCCATGCATGCACTGCTGCTTTCAGTGTCCTGACCCCGCAGCCGACACCACCAACCCACGCCTCCACCAGAGACTCCTGGACACTCAAGGGCAAGTCTGGGTCAGTTTCTTGTTGGGTCACTGCTCCTTTCTCTTGGGTCCTGGTGCACACAAGGTTTTGTTTGTGCCCTCCAAGTTTTACGTAAGTTCTGGCGGCTCTATGGTGGGTTAATGTCGACCTCCAAGAAGGTTTATGGCATACCCAGATCTGCTGCACTCAGAGCCCCTGTCCTTGCGGCAGGCCACTGCTGACCCGTACCTCCACAGGAGACACTCAGACACTGTTCTGGCTCAATCTCTGTGGGGTCTCTGGGTCCTGGTGCACACAGGTGTGTTTGAGCCCTCCACAAGTGTCTCTGGTTGGTATGGGATTTGATTCTAAACAGGATTTTGCCCCTCCTAACCCTTATGGCAGAAAGTGAAGATGAATTAAAAAGCCTCTTGATGAAAGTGAAAGAGGAGAGTGAAAAAGTTGGCTTAAATCTTGACATTCAGGAAACTAAGATCAGGGCATCTGGTCCCATCACTTCATGGGAAATGGATGGGGAGACAGTGGAAACAGTGTCAGACTTTATTTTTTGGGGCTCCAAAATCACTGCAGATGGTGATTGCAGCCAGGAAATTAAAAGATGCTTACTCCTTGGAAGGAAAGTATGACCAACCTAGACAGCATATTAAAAAGCAGAGACATTACTTTGCCAAGAAAGGTCCATCTGGTCAAGGCTATGGTTTTTCCAGTAGTCATTTATGGATGTGAGAGTTGGACTGTGAAGAAAGCTGAGTGCCGAAAAATTGATGCTTTTGAACTGTGGTGTTAGAGAAGACTCTTGAGAGTCCCTTGGACTGCAAGGAGATCCAACCAGTCCATCCTAAAGGAGATCAGTCCTGGGTGTTCATTGGAAGGACTGATGCTGAAGCTGAAACTCCAGTACTTTAGCCACCTCATGGGAAGAGTTGACTCATTGGAAAAGACCCTGATGTTGGGAGGGATTGGGGGCAGGAGGAGAAGGGGATGGCAGAGGATGAGACTGCGGGATGGCATCACCGACTCAATGGGCTTGAGTTTGAGTAAACTCTGGGAGTTGGTGATGGACAGGGAGGCCTGGCATGCTACAATTCATGGGGTCGCCAAGAGTTGGACACGACTGAGCGACTGAACTGAACTGAACCATCTTGCTAGGGCTTCTCCTTTGCCCTTGGACGTGGGGTGTCTTTTTGGTGGGAACCAGCATTCTCCTGTCAACATTTGTTCAGCAGTGAGTTGTAATTTTGGAGTTCTTGCAGACAATGAGTGCATGTCCTTCTACTCCGCCATCTTGACTTGCCTAATACATAGTTATTGGATGATGATAAGTACTGTGGAGAAAAATAAAGCATGAAAAGGGCAATAGGTAATGCCAGGAGCAGGTATGAACATGTATACATTTTTGAATGGAGGTAGGGAGGGGGAAGCACAGGGAAGGCTTTACCAAAGTGAGTTTTAAGTAGTGACCTAGAAGGATATTTGGGGAAAGATCATGCAGAAGGATCAGCAAGTAAGAAGACCTTGAAGTAGGTGCATTCCTGGAACACTCCAGGGCCAGCATTGAGATCAGATGTCTGTGGCAGAGTCACTGGGACAGTAGCCCGTGAAGTGGGCTTCCCTGGTGGCTCAGCAGTAAAGAATCTGCATACTGTGCAGCAGAGGTGGGTTTGATCCCTGGGTTGGGGAGATTCCCCTGGAGGAGGGCGTGGCAACCCACTCCAGTGTTCTTGCCTGGGAAATCCCATGGACAGAGGAGCCTGGTGGGCTACAGTTCTTAAGGTTGCAAAGAGTTGGTCACAACTGAAAAGACTTTGCAGCAGCAGCAAATGAAATAAATCATAGCAGTAATGGGAATCAGGTTGTGTAGAGCCTTATTGAGGCCACTGAGTAGGAACTTTGGCTTTTGTTTTTAGTGGTATGGATGCCATTGGAGGATTGTGAGCAGAGGAATGATATGACCTTTTTATTATTTAACCTTCTATTGCAGAAAATTGGAAATACATAAAAGCAGAGATGAGTATCATTTTATCCAGTATTAATTCCCCAGCTTCTGTAATTAACTCTTGGCCAATCTTGTTTCATCTGTAATCTCTCCTACCTTTTACTTTCCCTCTGGATTTTTAAGTTCCAGGCATTATATCATTTGTAAATTTTTCAAAATTCACTTATGTTAAATAAGATCATTCTGGTTGCAACTAGAGGGACAAGGATAGAAACAAGAGGATCAGTAAGGAGGTTATTTCAGTAATGCAGGCAAAAGATGATGGTGGTGGCTTGGTCTAAGGAGGTAGCAGAATCTTTTGTACTAATGTGATTCTGGACATGTTTTTAGAATAGAGGTCATAGGACTTGTTAAGGAATCAGATGTAGGGTGTGAGCTAAAGAGAAAACCAGGAATGACATAGGTTTTTGATTCATGCAACTGGACAAATGGAATAGCCATCAATTAAATTTGAGGTAAGACTGGAAAGATTAAGTTTTAGAGGGAGAATGAAAAATTTGATTCTGGCAATATTTAATTTGAGATGCCAGTTAGATAACCAAATAAAGATGTTGATTAGTATTTCTTGGTGCATCAGTAGTTCATTGGAGAGATCTGTGCTGGAGCCATAAACATGGGTAATGTCAGCATAAAAATGGTTCTTGGGAAGTGACCATGGATATAGAAGGGTTTTTTAAAACTGAGCTAATTCCAGCATTAAGAAATTGAGAGGAAAAGCCATCAAAGGAGACTGAGAAAGGATAGTTACAGAGGTAGGAATTAACCAGGAGCTGGTGGTATCCTGGAAGGTAAGTGAAGAAATTATTTTAAGGAGGGATTAATTTCCTGTCAGATGCTGACAGTGGGCATGATGATAAGAGTTCTGAGATTGGATTTACTACTTGAGGATCATTGGTGAGCTCATGAAAAGAAATTTCTTTGGAGTGGTAGGAGTGAGAGCCTTGTGCAGATTGGTGTCAGAGAGATGAAACCACGAGGCATTGAGTTTAGACGCTTCTTTTAGGAGTTCTTTAGCAAAGGGGAGAAAACATGGAGGTGCAGCAGAAATGGAGATTAGGAATTGGGGGAGTTTTCTTTAAAGTGGAGGAATTTACAACACTTTTTTTTTATGCTGATGGTAATGATCTAGGAGAGAGAGATAAGTGAAGACTAATTGATGAATTCTCTGTGTGATTTCGGATAGAGATTCACGTATTCTAGATTGCCTGACACAGGTGCCTTATCACAGATTTTCACATTGTAGTAGCCTTTGCTGTCTCTCTTCTTCTTATCCTTCATCAAGTCTATAATTGCTTACCCTAATCAGCAGCTCTTCAAGTCTGTCATGTGGACAGAAAGGTCACATAGCTATTATTATTATCATTGATCTCACCACTTGGAGCTTTCACAGAAACCAGAAAACCTAGCCAGTATTCACGCTAGCATTTAAAATTGTGTGTGATAAAATGATGTCTGATGACTTATTTTTGGTGTATTTTGTATTTGTTTTAATGATTAAGTTCCATTGAGGTTATAGTTAGTTTTGAATGTTCTAGATTTGTTCAAATTAGATACTTGGTTACAGTTTGAGTCATAACTTGACAGATACCTGAAGTTCACATGTGTTTAATTGTGTCTGTGTGTAGAAACAGATTAAGATGCTTTCAGATCTTGATTGTTTCTTGGTTTTAGAGTTTTAGAATTATGTTTATTTCTGCTTGGTGCTGGTTTACTTAGCAGAAGTATTGCTTTTAGTTGGTGATATTGTGGAATATTGACACAGATGATGCCTAGATGACTTATTTCAAAGCAAGCTTTAAGTTAAATTTTCTATATGGTCATAAATCAAGTAAATGTCTACTGTAACTAATTTTTTTACAACTAATTTCCAGTATTTTTCTTAAACAGATTATGAAGCAATTGTGAAGCTTTCAGATGGCTTTAATGGAGCAGACCTAAGAAATGTTTGCACTGAAGCAGGTAAGGATTTAAAGTACAGTTTTTACTCTTGATTTTTATTTGTTTAATTTGCTAAAAATGTGCCTGGCTTTGTCCAAATGCAGAGCCTGGACTTTGCAAGGTTTTGAGTGTTTGTTATTTTCTGGGAAATTGATTCCAAGAATTAGGAGAGAACAGAGCAAGTGAGATACGGAGAGGGAAAGCTGTTACAAGGGTACATCACTGAAGTAACTATTGTAGGCAGGAGGTGTTAGATTCTGATGAAGCTTCAGAGAAACATACAGAATTCTTTCCAGGATTGTCTGGCTGAAATACGGGAGACCAGAGCATTTACCAGCTCTTATCCTCTGTTCCTCCATGGGACGAGATCCCCTTGGGAAAGTTAACTTCTTGGCACTTACAGATGCCTCTGGGTAGGGTACGGAAAGACATGCATGTGATAGTATGCTGTCCCTCTGGAGTAAGTCTGAGACCATACAGAACTATCTGCCACACCTGTGTTAGAAATCCAACCGGGCCAGCACTGGGGGTATCTGCTGCAAGGTGGTTGACAAGCCTCCTGATACTAGTCAGCCAGTGGTTAAATTTGAAAGATTGATTTATGAGTGTTGTGTTCATGCTACTTGTGGAAATGTAGTAGTTTTTTAGTATAATTTTCTCTGCAAATTGTGTGATTTTTATTTTTGGTACCAAGTGGCTTTAAAACCCTATAGAGTCACTTAGATTTGTCCTCCACACAAAATTTTTAAATTAAAAAAATTAATATCTGCAGTAGATTTTAGACTTTCATAGGTTTCATATGAACAGTTTTTAAGTATTACAATATGTGATTTCCTCTTGTTTTCATTTTACCTTTAGCCTTATTTTTAACATTTCTTGTAAATTCACCAGTGTTTATAAAGAGGCTGCTCAGACAGGCTTCTCCATAGGAGTATCTTCATGGGTGTACTGTGACTCAGTATCTGGATCAAAATCTGCAGGTCCAGAAACTCAGTAGAAGTCACAGTAAATCATGCTCACAAAGACTTATTAATAGGTAAAAATATTGAGGTAAACTCAGTAACCTGAACTAAAAGCAAAGCAAAGTGAAGTTGCTCAGTCGAGTCCGACTCTTGGAACCGCATGGACTCTAGCCTACCAGGCTCCTCCATCCATGGAATTTTCCAGGCAAGAATACTGGAGTGGGTTCTCATTTCCTTCTCCAGGGTATCTTCCCAACCCAGGGATCGAACCTGGCTGGGTCTCCCACATTGCTGGCAGACGCTTTACCAACTGAGCCATCAGGCAAGCCCACAACTTAACTTATGATATTCTCCTTTCAAAATCTACATTGGACCAAATATTAGAAGATTATTTTGGTGACACTGAAATCCAAACAAAAGTAGTATCATAATCTTAAAAGCTGATACCATTAAGTTATATTCTTTTTCCCACATTTTTTATAGTTTATTTTTAGCTGTTTCCCAATAAAGAATTGTAACTTGTGTGTGGATTAAAATTTAAGCTTTTTAGGCTTCTCATCTGGAGACATACTGTATTTCTTTGGTTTTCTTTTTATTCAGCTTCAAGCTTTTTTTTGTTAACATATCTTTCTGTGAGTTAAAATGTTTTTAATTCAAATCTAGTTGTCTTTTTCCATTCAAATCTTTCTTTTTGATTTCTGAGATTATTTTTCTTTTTGGATTAGGATGTATCTCAGATTCACTCATTCACTAGAAATGATTTGGAAACAGTAATATGCACAAGGTTTGGAAAATTAGCTTGCCTAATTTAATCACAGCCTTCTAAACAGGTTTTAAAACTTCACTGTTAAAAAAACTAGTCATTTCCATTCACCTAAATTTCTGAGGATAGCACAGAGTAACTATTGCCAAGATTCCTTATATAGAAATCTCGAAAGGGAAGACCGGAAGCAACCCTTGAAATTTTCTATTGCAACCCAGTCATTTCATGTTAGTGAAAATTCAGTATAAGCAGATCCTCAGTGAAAATAGTAGTAGGATTCATTTATTTAATAGATAATTTTATCTTACCAGTTTTAACTTATCATGAAGTTAGGATTGTCTAAAAATCTGGGACCTACATCCATGACACAATTAATGTTTTTTAAAAACACAAACCTTTACCTCCTTGTCAAGTAGTATTTGACGAGTAACTTGTCAAAAATTTGAAAGCAAAATATGAATTGTGGTATTTGAATATGAAAGTCATATTATCAATTTGTACATGAAAAAGGTAAATTTTCTTACATGAACAATGCCATTGGTTTTTGTTAAAACCCACTGTTGACTTTGTTTAATTCTTATTCTCTAAGCTTTTGATTATTAACAAGGAAAAGCTGTCAAAATTACTGGAGTTGTTTTGTGTTTTCCCAAACCATCGATTGGAGAAGGCAATGGCAACCCACTCCAGTACTCTTGCCTGGAAAATCCCATAGACCCAGGAGCCTGGTAGGCTACAGTCCATGGGGTCTTGAAGAGTCGGACACGACTGAGTGACTTCACTTTCACTTTTCACTTTCATGCATTGGAGAAGGAAATGGCAACCCACTCCAGTGTTCTTGCCTGGAAAATCCCAGGAACAGAGGAGCCTGGTGGGCTGCTGTCTATGGGGTTGTACAGAGTTGGAGACGACTGATGCAACTTAGCAGCAGCAGCTGCAAACCATACATGCGCTCCCTCCTTCCAGGGGATTGCTGCATGTAGAGTTTAGAAAGCGCTGCCTGCAGTGTGTATGTATTGCTGATAGTTGGGTTTTGTTTTTTGGCTTCCATGGTGGCTCAGACAGTAAAGCATCTGCCTGCAGTGCAGGAGACCTGGGTTCGATCCCTGGGTTGGGAAGATCCCCTGGAGAAGGAAATGGCAGCCCACTCCAGTACTCTTGCCTGGAAAATCCCATGGACGGAGGAACCTGATAGGCTACAGTCCATGGGGTCGCAGAGTTGGACTTGACTGAGCGACTTCACTTTCACTTTTCTTTTGTTTTTTCAAGATGCCATTGGATACAGGGACTGTGTGAGCTGGAGTTAAGTATCCAGATAATTGTCTCATTGTTTCCTAATTTTTGGTTTGGAAAATAATGCTCACTATAGCTATGGAAATTAGTTGAACAATGATAGTGGTTTTTAACAAATTGGAACTGATTGCTGAGTAGTAGTACATCTGGGTTCCTTCACATTTATTCCATAGAATAATATTACATTATTTACTTTAAAGTTTTTTTAATTGAGATGTAGTTTTAATTGATATATAAACTAAATTGACATTTAGTTTCATGTGTACAACATAATTAAGTATTTGTAGATATTATGAAATGACAGCCACAGAAAGTCTAGTTAAATTCCATCATCACAGATAGAAAAATATTTTTCTTGTGATCTACTCTTAGCAACTGTCAAAATATAAAATGCAGTGTTAATAAGTATAGTCACCATGCTGTACATTACATCCCCAGGACTGACTTTTTTAAGTGGAAGTTTGTACCTATTGACCACCTTCACCCATTTCACTTACCCTTCTTTGTTATTTTATAATAAATAATCACATATTAAATATAGCAGTCATGTTGCTTTATTTTCCACAGGTATGTTTGCAATTCGTGCTGATCATGATTTTGTAGTACAGGAAGACTTCATGAAAGCAGTCAGGAAAGTGGCTGATTCTAAGAAGCTAGAGTCTAAATTGGACTACAAACCTGTGTAATTTACTGTAAGGTTTTTGATGGCTGCATGACATCTCTTGGCTTAATTTTAAAAAGTTAAGGAAAATTATGTATTGGCAATGATCTCATTAATAGCATATGAATAAAAATGTGTATGAATAACATTGTAAAAATTAGTAATTCAGTAATTCTGCTTTTAAGAAGTACAGAGGAAATTTGTATGTTTGTTAATGTTGCATTTATTGCAGCAGAAGTCAGAAGAGTATGTTGAAGCTTTTTGTATTTGCTGTATGAATGTTTTGTAAAACCTTGAAAATGGTTTGAGATAGTAGTACCAGGGAGCATTTCTTATGACTTATTTTATATCACTTGTTTTCCTCATCCTAAAAAGTTTAATAAAATCTGTTTAATTCAGTTCTTCTACAGATATTGTTGTCTTTTATAAGACTACATCTACCATGGTCTGTTAGGTTCTTTAGTAAGTATAATAAACTAATAACCAAGATGAAGTTTTATTTAGATCATAGATTTTTGAATTTTAAAACACTACCTACACTCAGTGTTCGAGACCATTGTATTATATGTAACATAGATGTATGTGTGTGTGTGTGTGAGAGAGAGAGAGAGAGTCTATATCTGTATATTCCTCCTTCCAGAAAGTCTTTATTTATTTTTTGCCTACTATGATTAGGCTGTATGATAGTTGACTGATATAGTACATGCGCATCCATAACCTTTTTTTTAAGATTATGATTAAAAGTAATGTTTGCTATTAAATGTGACTTAGTTTTCTTGATTTTTATAAGATGATAGTTTCCTTTTGAGGAGGTTTGTTCACTCTTCTCAGAAAAATTTACACATATGTACACACAGTTTTGCATATATTAAAACTTACGAGATGTATTATTTCCCAAGCTCACCCATGGACTCTAGGTATCTATGGATACCAGGCTCAGAGTGTCTAATGTAGGGGGTGTTGATGTCAGAAGTGTTCAAAACAAAAGTTCTGTTACCTATACACAATTCTTTCTCATATTATGTGGCAATTAAAGCTTTAACAAATTACAATAGGAAATCACCATTGGGCATCAATTAAGATTGTTTTATTAAAGGTACAGTTAAAGAAACTGTCTTCAGTTTAGTAAACTTGAAGAAATGAATATGACTCAGGTAATTATAAAATCATTCTTCAAATAAAAAACTTGCTAGCAGAGTAATGTGTGCCTTTTTATAACTAAAAGAGAACCATTTATAGATAGTGGTAAAGAAAATGGAGCCCTCAACTAGCCATTTAATACTCAAAATTATTAAACAGTTCTATTTCTCTATATATTTAGAGTGTTTCATAAATATGACTAAAAAGTAATAGGATGTCAGGTTTAGGTCAAATTTCAATGTGATCTTTTTTATTCTTTCCATTGTAATTTGCAGTTCAGTTGTTGAATGACTTTCACTTTTTTACTTTGGTGGTGGTGGGGGTTGTTTTTTAAAGAGTAAGTTTGGTGTACAAATATTGAACGTTTAAGTGTGGGTTCTTACACTAATCTTAATTTTCTTCATCTGTTTAAAAACAAAAAAGATACCATTATCTCCTTAGGCCCAGAGAAAGTGTTATATACCTGAACTTTATTAACAGTATAGTATTAACTGATTCAAACTCCTTTTAAAAAGATATTCAAAGCCATATAGTTTATAGTTCAATAATACGTTGAAGTGTAATAAGCTTAAAATTGAAGAGACCGTCAGTATTATGTAAATTAGTGAGCTATGAATTGTTCTTATTTAAGATTTTTTCTTGATATTTTCCAGTTGTCATATTCCCAGGTATTGTTAAAAGTACACCGTTTCGATTTGCTTAAAAGTGATAGTATTTTATTTTCTGTGTAGCATTACATAATTTTCAGGTGAACTCTTCATTACTCTTGGTACCTCACCACAGATTGCGCAGGATTCTCAAGAGGGGAGAAAACTATAGTTTCCTTTCGTATGCCAGTTTATGGTGACTAGGATGTCTTCCCGATTCTTACACCCAAGTAGGGATTTGCGTTGGATCCGGAAAGGGCAGAGTTGTTTCAGATTATCCCACTGCCTTTCCCAGGACCGTCCTCCGTTCTCCCTCCTGCGGCAGCCCCACCTCCTTCACACCCAGCGAGCTCCCGCCCGGGCGCCTCCAGGGCCCCGCCCCCCCGCGTCTGCGCGCTCGCGAAGGGGCGGGGCGGCGGCGCGCTGACACCTGGCGGCCGCAGTGGGGGCAGGCCGAAGGCAAGCGTAGGCTGGGATTGGCTGGGGCGGCGCGGGGACGGCGGGAGGGGGAAAGAGGGGAGACGGTTGTAGGGCTCGTGTTGGTGCTAGAGCCTGGGCGGCCTGAGGGGCGCGGAAGCACGGGGGGGAGGAAGACGGCAGCAGCATGGCGGCCGGGTACGAGCCGCCCAACCCTCTTCCCGGCTGTCGCCGCCGGAGTCGTCGGGACCCTATAGTCTGCGTGTGTTCGTTGTAAGCCCGCTGCCTCCCGGTCAGTCCTCCGGTCTACCTTTCGTTTCACCGCCACTGCCTGCCCGAGGGTCGGCCGGCGGGTAACTCCCACTCCTACCCGGCCCCACCCACAAACCCGCGGGCCAGGACCATGGAGGACGTGAAGCTGGAGTTCCCCTCGCTCCCACAATGCAAAGAAGACGCCGAGGTGAGTCTGTCAGTGAATAACACGCACAGGCCTCTGTGGCTCTTCGCCGAGGGGCGGACCCCAGGCTCCAACCGTCGGAGCCTTCACCTACTGGTAGCCCTGTTGCCTCCTGAGGGCGTCTCGGGACCCCGGGGCGGAGTCTCGCGCTTTGGGGCCGTCTACCCCTACCACGGCTTCCTGAGTTCCTCTTCCCTTTCGGAGACGCTGGGGCCGGGTCTGGTCTACTTACTTCAGTCCTTTTTCCCCCTGATTCGGCACGAGGACTTACTTGAAGTAAGGTTACTCTTTTATTGCCAAGGCAATGCAAGGATATGTTTTTAATCTCATTTTGAGGGATAATCTTTGGTGTCATCGATGGACTTGTGGGACACATGAGCCCACGTGTGGAATTGATGTGGGGCCTGAACTTGGAAGTGTGCCTTCAACAAGTTCCCGAAGTAGTTGGTTTGATTTGATTTTTGGTGTTTTTGAGGCAAGCCGTGATCATCAGAGTAAAATGTCACGAAACTAACTCATTTGAATCTGAAAACTTCAGTCAAAAAACTTGCCCTTTGGAGGGAAATTAATATGGGGAATAAAATTCTTTATAACTTGGTCTCCTGATTTCTAACTCGGGGTTCTTTTTATCCCACCTACATCTTCCCTCCCTAAAGTGTGTATTGAGTTTTCCTGCATCTATTCCTAGTTTAAAATACGTTATGGTATTGGAGACTACTAAATTAAAATTTTTCTGAAGATTGAATGCACTCTAGTAGTCTCAAGAAAGAAATGTTTAATTCTACTTTTAAGAGATCATTCAGTTTATGGCAGGTATTCATTCTATTGATATCTTTTGTGGTTCACTTTTTTTTATCTGGGGGGATTATTTGCTTGTGATGATAATCCTCGAGAATTTCATGTTTTAAGAATACACTCAAATAGGGGAAAAAAAAGGTAGAATATAGGTTAGGTTAAAAATGGTTTTATACTTTTTTCTTTTATATGGAATAATGTGAATGCTTTTATATCTTTGAAATGATTCAGTAATTTCAACACTAGGCAACCTTAGAAATAATGTAGAGCTTTCCCACTTTTAAGATGAAGAAATTGTAGCTTACTAAGAATAAATGGTATTCCTAGTGCACCTAGTTCTCCTCGTTCTTAATTCATTGTCTTTTTAAATACACCTCAATTCTTCCCTGTTCTAGTCTTAATAGTTCGAGTTTAAAATGTTTACAACTTTGCATCTAATCTCTTATTGTATAAATAATATATCTTATCCTTGCAAAGATTGTAAAAATCTTAGTGAGGAATACAGCTTACTTCTTTCCTGCTTGCTGCTTTCCTGTGTTGGAGAGAAGTAATACAACCCTAGTACATAATGATGTTCATATCATCTACTGAAAGCCAGTTCGTTCCTTATGCTGTAGCATTAGTTGTTTGTTATCTCTCAGTTACAAGTGACAGAAACCAGAGGAGCTTAAGCAAGAAAGAAAAGAAGTAACTAAATCCAGAAAATTTGGAGTGCAAACTGGTCTCAGAGACTTGACTAGACAGTATTAAAATGTAGCAGTACTGCCCCTGCCATTCATTAATGCTTGTCTCTATTTTCTGTCAAGATCTGTTCTTTTTCTTGGGCTTCTCCACAGGTATGAAGTTTAGCCATCAGTTGCCTGAAGATCAGACCTTTAGAGCATTCACATTAAGGGGGAAAAGCGCCTTTCTGTAAGCTTTAGTGTTTAAAATCTAGTGGATTGGCTTATCTTTGGGATCAGTCAGGAGAGTCAGAAAGTGGTGAATACAGTGAAGGATCTAGTCTAGGTCACATACTTCCTGGGCTAAGGGGACTAAAGTTTATCATTGGTAGCCCTCCCACCAAGCTGATAGGAGCATTTCACAGAAGATGGAAGATGCTTTCTGGCCAGACAGAACTATAAATAATCATAAATAGGGTATCTAGTTAATTACACATGATAAAGTGACTAATATAACAATGTTAATTTTTTAATTTCCAGTGAAATATGTAAAGTGGCAAATGGTCTTACACGATTATGGTGACCAGCCAGCATAGTTTTTTCCACATAGGAAGCACTCCCAATCACATTCCAGTCTTGCTTAAGTAAAAAATTCAAGTACAGTGATTTCAGTGAAGACTGTTAATGATTGATGTAATCAGGATATGATAACTTTATGATCCTGTCACTTCTATAAAAATATTACTTCCAAGTTTCTTGAAATACTGGATAGAGCACTCTTCCCAGGATGGTTGCTAGCAAAAATTTAGATCAGCTTGCAAAAAGATTGTCATTCCTTTAAAATTCCTGTAATTTCCCGTTGTTTTGAGGATGAAGTTCAAACCCTTAATGTCATCAGCATGGTCCTGTGTGAACTGGCATCACTTGACTCTCTCAATTGTGTTATGAGCGACTCTTTCCCTTGCTCCATTTGGGCCCTATACATAGTCACCTTCTCTCTGTTTCTGGAATGCTTCTATGTTTTTCTCCCTACCTCAGGAGCTTTAAGCTACAATTTTCGCCTGCCATGACTGCCAGCACAGTCCCCTTGGCCTCTCCTGATTACTACTTACTCTTGGGCTAGATCCCACTTGAGGCATCATTTCTTCAGAGAAGCTTTTCCTGATTTTGCCATTTCCTTGTGTCCGCTCTCCCATCTCCAGATTAGTTCAGTCCCCAGGTTTCTAAGCTACTGTAGCACTTGTTGGACTTCCCCAGTGGCTTAGCTGTAAAGAATCTGCCTGCAATGCAGGATACTCAGGTTTCATTACTGGGTTGGGAGGATTTCCTGGAGAAAGAAATGCAACCCACTGCAACATTCTTGCCTGTGAAATCCCGTGGACAGAGGAGCCTGGTGGGCTAGAGGAGTCCATGGGATCACAAAGAGTCGGGAATTACTGAGCAAATAAACAACAAGAGTAGGATCACTCAAGGAACTTTTAAAAAATAATCAAGCATGGGCTTTTCTGAGTTAGTTGGTTTAAGATGGAACTAGATAATTCCAGTGGCAGTTAGGTTTAGAAATAAATGATTTGGAAGCATCTTACTTAAATACATCTCTATTTTCCATATCCACCCAACCCTCTCATTTTTAAAGTAAAAATCTCTTTTTTTTTTCCATTTTTTATTAGTTGGAGGCTAATTACTTTACAATATTGTAGTGGTTTTTGCCATACATTGACCTGAATCAGCCATGGATTTACATGTATTCCCCATCCCGATACCCCCTCCCACCTCCCTCTCCACTTGATCCCTCTGGGTCTTCCCAGTGCACTGGGCCTGAGCACTTGTCTCATGCATCCAACCTGGGCTGGTGATCTGTTTCACCCTTTATAATATACATGTTTCGATGCTGTTCTCTCGAAACATCCCATCCTCACCTACTCCCACAGAGTCCAAAAGTTTGTTCTGTACATCTGTGTCCCTTTTTCTGTTTTGCATATAGGCTTATCGTTACCATCTTTCTAAATTCCATATATATGCGTTAGTATACTGTATTGGTCTTTATCTTTCTGGCTTACTTCACTCTGTATAATGGGCTCCAGTTTCATCCATCTCATCAGAACTGATTCAAATGAATTCTTTTTAATGGCTGAGTAATATTCCATGGTATATATGTACCACAGCTTCCTTATCCATTTGTCTGCTGATGGACATCTAGGTTGCTTCCATGTCTTGGCTACTATAAACAGTGCTGCGATGAACATTGGGGTGCACATGTCTCTTTCAGATCTGGTTTCCTCGGTATGTATGCCCACGAGTGGGATTGCTGGGTCATATGGCAGTTCTATTTCCAGTTTTTAAAGAAATCTCCACCCTATTCTCCATAGCAGCTGTACTAGTTTGCATTCCCACCAACAGTGTAAGAGGGTTCTCTTTTCTCCACACCCTCTCCAGCATTTATTGCTTGTAGACTTTTGGACACAGCCATCCTGACTGGCGTGTAATGATACCTCACTGTGGTTTTGATTTGCATTTCTATAATAATGAGTGATGTTGAGCATCTTTTCATGTGTTTGTTAGCCATCTGTATGTCTTTGGAGAAATGTCTGTTTAGTTCTTTGGCCCATTTTTTGATCGGGTCATTTATTTTTCTGGAATTGAGCTGCAGGAGTTGCTTGTATATTTTTGAGATTAATCCTTTGTCTGTTGCTTCGTTTGCTATTATTTTCTCCCAATCTGAGGGCTGTCTTTTCACCTTGCTTATTGTTTCCTTTGTTGTGCAAAAGCTCTTAAGTTTCATTAGGTCCCATTTGTTTATTTTTGCTTTTATTTCCAATATTCTGGGATGTGGGTCATAGAGGATCCTGCTGTCAGAGAGTGTTTTGCCTATGTTCTCCTCTAAGAGTTTTATAGTTTCTGGTCTTACAGTTAGATCTTTAATCCATTTTGAGTTTATTTTTGTGTATGGTGTTAGAAAGTGTTCTAGTTTCATTCTTTTACAAGTGGTTGACCAGTTTTCCCAGCACCACTTGTTAAAGAGGTTGTCTTTTTTCCATTGTATATCCTTGCCTCCTTTGTCGAAGATGAGGTGACCATAGGTTCATGGATTTATCTCTGGGCTTTCTATTCTGTTCCATTGATCTATATTTCTGTCTTTGTGCCAGTACCATACTGTCTTGATGACTGTGGCTTTGTAGTAGAGTCTGAAGTCAGGCAGGTTGATTCCTCCAGTTCCATTCTTCTTTCTCAAGATTACTTTGGCTATTCAAGGTTTTTTGTATTTCCATACAAATTGTGAAATTAATTGTTCTAGTTCTGTGAAAAATACCGTTGGTAGCTTGATAGGGATTGCATTGAATCTATAGATTGCTTTGGGTAGTATAGTCATTTTGACAATATTGATTCTTCCAACCCATGAACATGGTATATTTCTCCATCTGTTTGTGTCCTCTTTGATTTCTTTCATCAGTGTTTTATAGTTTTCTATGTATAGGTCTTTTGTTTCTTTAGGTAGATATACTCCTAAGTATTTTATTCTTTTTGTTGCAATGGTGAATGGTATTG